GGGCCTAATCCTGCTTGTGTTGAAGTCAACAGAAGTCCATGGAATGCCACTGGGAGAAGGGGCATGTGCAGCCAAGAGTGGGGGTGGGGAGAAGAAGGGGCAGTTTTCCTTGGGACCCCAAACCAAGCATTGCAGGCAGTGACCTATCGCACGGGGTCACAGAGCCTCTCCCTGAAATTTGGCCTCTCTGTCATGATGGAGGGGAGCCACTGGGCTAAATCTGAGTGGCACTGTGACCCTGCGCACCAGGTCGCAATGCCCAGAGATCCAGGCCCGACCCACAGAACCGGAGCCAAGCTGCCGATGCAAGCTGAGTGCAGCTCAACTGTGTGGCCCATGTGAAAAATGTCTGGGAGCACCCCGAGTGGAGTCTCAAAAGTGAGCAGTGCTGGGTGGTCAGGGGGAGGGGAGTGGCACTGGGTGGTTACTGCATCCTCTTGCAGCTTCCACCACCAGGTGTCCTACAGCGGATCTGGGGATTGCAGTGGAAACTCAGGGAAGGTGGATGCAAGAGGTGAGGCTGGTGCAGGGAGGACTAACCTGTGCCAGTTGCAGTGAACTTAGACTGGCGCGTTAAATGGCCACAGGAAGGGCTGGGATCACTGAAGTAATTTCCTTCTGGTTCAGCAAACCAGAGATTTCTAATAACAATGTCTTACATCTGTCCAGTGCCCTTCTTCAACAGACTAATCACTTTCTCCCCCACTGAACAGCAGTTGCCTCCCTGGTGGAACACTGCAACCAAACAGAAGCACAGATCAACACTGTGCAACAGTTTAGGGCAGGAAGCGAAGAATTCTGCATCCAGCTGAAATCACAGGGGAGCGGGGGTGTCATTTATGTAGGTGGCAGGTAACAATCTGAGTAGAATGTGTGCAGGAGAGTTAATGCTCACAAAGTGGCAAGCACTGAGCTAGCTTCCATAATGAGTGATTACGTTTCATCCCGCATTTGTCTCCTTCCAGGGAGAAGCAAAAGAGGCCAATGGCCCAGAAGGAGGCAACTTAATATTTCTGTTGTTATTATTGGCATTACAGTGACCTAGCTATCCCTCCTCCCCCAAGATTGGGGTCCCATTGTGCAAAGTGCTGTACACGCTCATCATGAGAGACAGTCCCTGTCCCAAAAAGTTTACAATCTAGACAGCTAAGGGGGTGGATGGGAAACAGAGAGTTGAAGCAACATGACCAAGTCATACAGCAGGGCAATGGCAGAGCAAGGAATAGAATTCAGGTTTCCTGGCTCCCAGTCCAGTGCGCCGTCTGCTAGCTCATGCTGAATCCTGAAGCTTTTCTTTTTCTTCCTTATCTGAAAGAGAATCAAAGAGGTTTCAAGAGTACTGTTCCTTCCCTCCTCCCACCTTTTGAAGAGCCTAAACGAAGAACTAGAATTTTCTGCAGCAATAATTCAAAAGAAACCATCCATCCATTTCAGCAGGATGGTTATGTGGCAAGAAAATGCTCCTCCTTGGTCTCCTTTAAACCTTTAAAAAGATAAACCTTTGCTTATGGCCTTCGTTCCAACCAAGGCTAACGGACTATGAGGACAACAAGCAACCTGAAATTTTTCACATAGTCATTGCCCCCTTGCATGTGTGCTAGGTGTAAAAATGAAACCGTGCAGCAGAAAGTTGTGTATCTGGGTGTTCTGAGTTTATTAAAGGGATGAATAGTGGGTTCGATCCTCTTCTGACTCACACCAGTGACTCACCACTGAGTTCAATGCAATTGTTCCTGATTTTCACCTGTGTAAGTGACAGGGAGATTTGGGGCCAACTGTTCTTTCCCTTTCCCTCATATATATATATTATTTCAACTAGATTTTAAATGAATGCAAAACATTTGTTTTATTGATGTTTAAATGTATGTACTGGTGGTATTCATTATTTCTCTCTCTGCTTTTATCTTTATAATTAACACCTCCCACTATTAACAAATGAGCAATAGCCTGATAAAGCAGCACAAAACTCATCATGCAAATTGCTATTTGCAGTTTGGATCCATGCCATGCTTACATTTTTGTTTCTGCAGAAATTTTATGAATTGTAGTATGATGACTTATGGAATTCATATAGTATCAAAAGAGGTTTGCTCTCCATCTCAGAGTTGGTTTCTCTTAGTAAATATCAATTTTTTAGACCAGACTGGATTATGACAATGGATGATCAGAATTGTTGGCATGATCACATCTTATTAGTACAAAGATTTTATTTAAAGTGAGTCGGAGAAAAAGACTTCAGCAGCATGGTAGGTACAACTGAACCAATCACTATTCTCAATTCTGATACACTGGGGTGTATATCAAGTCATTCTATTGAACTGAATGCAATACAATTACTTCACATTCACACCAGTGTATTTAAGATCGGATTCTCACTCTATTTATAATATATTGTTACACATAATATACGTGTATATGACCAAAACTGACTGATTTTGTGTGCTCAACTTGAAACTCCGTAAAGGGGCCTGATTTGCAGAAAGTGCTGAGCGCCCATCCTCCGAAAAAAATTTGTCTCCTGTAGGTTGTCTCAAATTGTGTGTTCAAGGCACCCAAAATTACTAGTACCTCTTGGGGGGAGGGGGAGGGAAGAGGCAGGGATCCTCTGGAAAAAACAGGATGTATGATTGTATAATTAAAGACTGTAGCATAGTGCACACACACAAAGGGGCTGAATTAAGGTTGTATCAGCAACCTTAATTCTGGCATTTCCTAACTTTTCAGTGCTTGGCTTTGCAACCTTAACATTCCTTTAATGTTACCTTTTGGATGTTATATATATATATATAATATAAATACCAACAGCACAATATATTCCTTACAGTACTCTAATAACTTAAGCAGAGCCTCCCTTCACAGACAAAAACTGTAAACAATAAGCAAAGCAAGAACAAACCAAAATTATGAAGACACATAGAGTCTACCTCAGAGTGGTAAATATTTACCATTGACATTGGTTTATTAATTCCAGCCTATCAGTCTTTGCTTGGCTGTCTGACTTGAATAAAACCACAGGAAGTGAATGCCTAAATGCTCTTCATGAAGGTAGTTCCTAAACTTTCCCACACAAAAATGTGTTTACTGTAACCCTCTTAAAATAAATGATGCCAAATGGAATCTGTATTAACGAGCTAGATTGCTGGTTTGCTGGCCATTATGTGCTGACACTTTAACCAGTCAGAAGCCAGTGGGGGTTATATATTGTGTATGGCAAACCTCACATTGACTTCAAGGGGAGGGGATTGAGTCCCACTGCATTTTTTACTCTGAGAAATTGTAATATGCTGCAATGTAATGGTCAGAATCGACATAATTTGTACATTAAAAATAACTTTTTTCCCTTTCATATATATATATATAGACTATATAGTCTCCTAGCAAAACCAACAGCATGGCTGCAAAAATACATTGTAATTAAACCAAATCCACAAAATCTCATTCACTTTTAAGAAGCTATTTCCAAGGAATTAGGGAGCGGGAGAAATTCATTCCACAAAAAATGAACGGGAAAAGCAGACAGCTTTCAGGGCTGTGTTTAGGTAAGGTTCAATATTTATTAAGAATACATTTGTTATTAATGTAGTTTTGTTTTAAGCAAACTTGTTTTTGTTTCCTTTTGGGCTAGCTTTGCCCATGAAAGGGAATAAGGGGGTGGGGGAATCAGAACACTCCTCATTTCAGTGGGACCAGTTGTGGAGCACAGTGCTACTCAACCTGAGTAAGGGGATCAGACTCTAGCCCCAAATGATTAAATTTACATCAGTCATTTATTTGGGATAATTGAAATAAAGTCATTGGAATTCAACACTGGCATAGGATCAACACCTCCTGCTTTGATGATAAATATCTAGAATTTGCCCTGACATTTATTTTCTGTAAGTACCAGCAGGAGACCATTATTCTGTGACAACATGCTGTTCCATTGACATTATCCCTTAAATATATTTAAAGATGAAGGTGCTGTGGATTTCTCAGGAGAGGGTGCAAAGCTAACGATTATTCTCTTCATATCAGAAGCGAAACCTCAGTTGAGGGAAAAGCTGCTTTAGATTTAGGCCCTATTGCGCCAGTGAAAATGTATTACGGTTTTACTATTTATTGAGCACTGGAGAATGACCTTGGTGTTGTACAAACAGATATAAGGAGACACAGACCCTGTCCCCGGGAGTAAGTGAAAACTCCCATCTTGCAATCAGATCCATAGGGGCAGACCTTTGTGTGTGTGTATGAAGCCCTTCTGAATCCATGTCCTGAATGTTAAAACAAGGGGTAGTGGGTAATTAATACTACCATTAAAAGTATATGAATATATTAATATAAATATTAAGTATTTGTATTACAGCAGCACCTAGGGGCGCCAGGCAAGGGTGGGGTCTCAGTGTGTCAAGCACTGTACAAACATATCCTAAGAGACAGTGTTTGTCCCAACAATTGAAATGGACAAAGGAGAGGAGGACAGAGTGAGGTAAAGAGATTGTTCAGGGTCACACAGCTGGTCAGTCTCTTGTCCCCTCGTCCAGTGCCTTAGCTACTGGACTATGCTGCCCCACCATAAGAGCTCAGATTTTTTTTTTAATGCTAGAGTATGCTGCAGTATGTCACAAAGCACTGGGCGGCTGCTTGCTTTTAGGGCCAGATCCTGTTTTCTCGGCAGGCAGTGGCAAAACTCTCTTTGACTTCAGTGGGACCAGGATCCAGCCCATAGCCCGTGTTACTGGTACTAAGTATTAACTTTCTCAGTGGGAGCTGCCGGATCGCAGGAGGGAGCTTGCTACCTTCTCCCTTCCTGGCTGTGTGGCACTAGTTTGGACCCAGGCTCAGACAAAAGGCAAGCTTGCAAACTCCTGCGGAATGAATAAGGGGATCAGGTTGCTCGCTCTCTCACGTGACTCTCTGCCCGTTCCTTGAGTCCCGGGGTCCATTTTCACACTGAGAGGGGCGGAGCGTCTCGGGCTCCTAGCTCCAGGTTTATTTGGTCATTTTCTGCAGGCACGTTGCTTTGGGCTCCCTGGAGCTCACTCGATTTCCTCCTTGCAGGTTCTTTTCCCCTTTGCAACAGCCCCTTTCTGATTCCCACCCCGCCTTTCCTTCCCGCTGCTCCAAGACCCCATTGCAGAAGGAGCTTTGTACGGATCTGCTGAGCTGGGGGGGGGGGATAATACACGCTCAGGCAAATGTGGGGAAGGAGGGGCAACAGTGCCACCCCCACCACCAGCCGCGCGGTTTAATTCTTCTGCTTCTGTTTAGCCCTCGCCTGCACTGAGATCAGCCCCAAGAGCGAGCGAGGCTCACGTTTTGTGTCTTTGCAGGAGACCGGGGCTGGGCACAGAACTGCAGCGCCGGAGAAAGTTTCCTGGGAGGGAGCCTCGCCGAGGGGATCTTATTTGCCCGCCGGGCTGCTGGTGAGGAAGCGGGCTGCGCCGCAGAGGTCCCCGCCCCCGCCCGCTTTGATTCCTGCCCCTCTGCGCAGAGCTGGGCGTCGGGCTGGTGTCAAGTGAACTTGAAAAGCTGATTTGCAGGCAAACCTGCCGCGGTGGGTTTCTTCTGCGGCGCTCGGAGATGGAAGGGGGGGGGGTCTCGGCCACGGGGAAGTTTTTGCAGAGGGATGAATCCGGATTCAACTTTGGGACCATGCTGCTGATTGGGCTCGTGTGAGCAGCTGCTGAGCTAAGGACACAGTCACTCCCTTTCCACGCGCTGGGCATGTTTGTGCTGCTGGCCCCTCAAACCGCTTCGAGCCTTTTAATCTAATTCAACCGAAGCAGCCAGGAGCACCGGGAACGTTTGACACTGGGCTGAGTTGTGGAGTCTGCCCCCCACCCCATCAGCAACCCCCCAAAAAAGGGCGGAAGGAGGAGGTTTTGCAGGGGGCTGCAGGGGTGCCCGGCTCCAGACTCGGCTTCGCCTCTAGCAATGGATAACCTGGAAGTGTGGCTCCGGGTCGCGCTCCTCTGTGCGGGATTTGCCGTATTGCCCCAGCAGCAGGCGGAAGGTGAGTACAAAGCGCACCCCGGTTGGACGGGGATTGACTTCGTGTAGTTACAAGGCGGGTTGCACGCGCTGGGAATTCTCCCCGCTGAAGATGGCTCTGATCCGGGTTAATTCCCCCCCACCCCCGGTATGCCTGTCCCCTCCGTTGGCCCAGTGTCATTAAATGGAGTCGCCAGCAGAATCCCCCGCTGCATAATTCAGCCGGCGCTCAGAGGGAAGGACGCACCGGAGCGGAGAGGTTTGCTGGAAGGGGCGCAGGGTGGTGAAATCCACAAAGGCAGGAGGGGTTGCAGCAAACCGCCCCCTCTGCAAGCAAACCCACCGCGCTGGGGCGGGAATCCGAGCTGACCTCGGAGATCAGGGGAGCTGAAAGGCGGCAGGAGGGTCTCGGGAGCGCACAGCGGGCGGGACCCCGGGGTGCGAGCGTGCCGGCGGCCCCTTGCTCCCCGCCCGGTGTTTCCTGCGGGCCGCCTTGGGGGGCCGGGGTTGTGTGTGGGCGGCGGGGGTGGCTTTGAGCTCCGCTCCGCTCCCAGCCCTGGGGTTCGCTCCTTATGCGGCCGGCTGCGGGAGGGGAGCGCCCTCCTGGCTGCAAGCGGGGAGAACCAGAGCCCGGGTCCCGCCTTCCTTCTCCCGTGCCCCCGGGCTCTTTGCGGGCCCTGCAGCCGTCCCGGTTGCAGGCGGCGCCCGAGGCGGGACAAGGCGTGGGGCTTGGCAGCGCGCGAGCTGGGGTCCGAAGCAGCTGGGGAAACTTCTCCGCCTCGCGCCTCTTTCCCACTGGGGGGGGGGGCTTGCTGCTGTTTTCTGGCCTGTGGCACCCCCTGCCAGGCCTCTGCCGGTCTGACACACACACACACACACACACACACACACACACTGCAGGGCGTGATGCCCCCCAACACACGCATGTGCCCTGTCTCGCTCTCCCTCCCACAGCAGACAGGCCAATCAAAGACATCGCCTCAGTGGTTCTCAGCCAGGGGGTACGTGTACCCCTGGGGGCACGCGGGGGTCTTCTGAGGGGTACACCAGCTCATCTAGATACTTGCCAAGTTTTGCAACGGGCACTAGCGGAGTCGGGACAAACTACAATTTCATACGGACAGTGACTTGTTTATACTGCTCTGTGTACCATACACTGAAATGTGAGTACAAGGCATATTCCAGTTGATTTATTTGACAATTACATGGTAAACATGAGACAATAGGTGAATTTTCAGTGACAGGGTGCCCTGACGCTTCTGCCGTTTCGTGTCTGCTTTTGTCAGCAAGTAGTTTTAAAGTGAGGTAAAACTTGGGGGTACAAATCAGACTCCTGAAAGGGGTACAGTAGTCTGGAAAAGTTGAGAACCACTGCATTACCGCACCCGCCCTGTGTCTCTCGCACAATAGGGGGCAATCTTGCACTGGCAGGCAGGACTGGTGCAGCAGGGCGGGATTTTTTACAAAGCACCTCAATGGCTGGGGAGTGCATCTCCCCTGAGCGGGGTGCCTACGTTGCTGCGTCCAGTCCTCCCTGACCAAACAGGGCCTTTCCATCTCTGTGACTGAGCTGGCACTTTTGTTCTCAACCCCACTCTTCAGCCACTTCAAAACCAGGACGCTCAAATTACCCTCTGAGCTGCAATGTCTTATCCTTGCTCTTGGCCCAGGAATAAATCATAATAGTTAATAACAAGTTGAAGAAAATCCACTAGCTATTTCTCAGTTACTGAAGAATGGGTGGGGGGAAATGTCAGGTCCAGGTGGGTTTCATGCAATGTGCAGTGTGTGTTGTTACTGCTCAAGGCAGCCGGGACTTACATGATGTTTTGCTGGTGGATTTTACGCTGGTTTCTAAAGGGAACGTGCTGTGTAGAAGGGTATGTTCCCTGCTGTCTGCCCCTTCTGCTGGTTATGATTCTTCCCCTTCTCCTCACTCTGCCTTCATCAATGTGGAAGTGGAATGGAGGGGTTGCCAGCAGCCAATATCTGGTAGTGCGATCATACTCCATAGCTGCTTTTTTTTCATGCTACATGCCACTTTGCATAGCATTACTGTCATTTTTCAGAGTAGCAGCCGTGTTAGTCTGTATTCGCAAAAAGAAAAGGAGTACTTGTGGCACCTTAGAGACTAACCAATTTATTTGAGCATAAGCTTTTGTGGGCTACAGCTCACTTCATCAGATGCATTGAGTGGAAAATACAGACTTTTTACTGTCATTCTGTTTTGGATGGAGGGGGCTCTGCCGATCAGCTTTGTTGCATCATGGAGGGCGTTTGCTGCAATGTTCCTTACCCTGGCGTCGGGACACGTCAGCAGGCGGAAGGCATGGGTGATCACCGCGATGTCACACAGGTCACCCATGCGGGGGACATTGGCACCGCCATGCCTGTGGGCGATATAGACCATCTGGCTCTCTGGGGAAGGAACAGCCACTTCTTCACCAGCTGCTGGACAATCTTGTATTTTCCACTGAATGCATCCGATGAAGTGAGCTGTAGCTCATGAAAGCTTATGCTCAAATAAATTGGTTAGTCTCTAAGGTGCCACTAGTACTCGTTTTCTTTTTACTGTCATTTTGCATCCTTCTGTGCCATGCAACAGAGGGGAAACAGATGACCCTACGCATGTGAAATTTAGCAGTTCCTTTAGGAGCCACGACTCTTGACTTTCATTAACATTTAAACCATAGTGATTCATTAACTTAAGCTTTACTGAACTTAATATGCTCAAGGTTCTTAGTCAATAACAATGTTATCTCAATCATTAGGTAAAATCTCCCAAGTCACTTAAAAAGAAAAGGAAGACTTGTGGCACCTTAGAGACTAACAAATTTATTTGAGCATAAGCTTTCATGAGCTACAGCTCACTTCATCGGATGCATTCAGTGAAAAATACAGTGGGGAGATTTATATACACAGAGAACATGAAACAATGGGTGTTACCACACACACTGTAATGAGAGTGACCAGGTAAGATGAGCTATTACCAGCAGTAGAGTGGGTGGGGGGCACCTTTTGTGGTGATAATCAAGATGGGCCATTTCCAGCAGTTGACAAGAACATGTGAGGAACAGTAGGAGGGGAAAATAAACATGGGGAAATAGTTTTACTTTGTGTAATGACACATCCACTCCCAGTCTTTATTCAAGCCAAATGTAATGGTGTCCAGTTTGCAAATTAATGCCAATTCAGTCTCTTGTTGGAGTCTGTTTTTGAAGGTTTTTTTTTGTTGAAGAATTGCCACTTTTAGGTCTGTAATTGAGTGACCAGAGAGATTGAAGTGTTCTTTGACTGGTTTTTGAATGTTATAATTCCTGACATCTGATTTGTGACTTTGTCCTCACCCATAACTATTTCACATTTGGGGGCAATGTATACCTTGAAATCAGCGGCACTGCTATGGGTACCCGCATGGCCCCACAGTATGCCAACTTTTTAATGGCTGACTGTCACGGAGTCCCTGGGCAATGCTCTGGAACTGCTCCCTACAAAGCCAGGCAGGACTCTGGTGAAGTCTCCTTTCTGTGAGCAGACTGTCTTCAGGACAAACAGCTCACACAGCCTCCACCTTCCTGGGTCTGACCTCGGAGCATTCAGCATTCTCTGCCCCTCCGTGCGCTTCCCACTGCGAGTCCGCCCAGGCGGGGCTCCTGGGGAAGCCAGAGGGTCCTGCACCCCAACTTCACAATCAGACGTGACTCTCAGCCAGCCAGTAAAACAGAGGTTTATTAGACGACAGGAACATGGTCTAAACCAGAGCTTGTAGGTACAGAGAACAGGACCCCTCAGCTGGGTCCATTTTGGGGGCAGTGAGCCAGACACCCACATCTGTACTTCACTCCATGTCCCCAGCAAGCCCCCAACTGAAACTCTCTCCAGCCCCTCCTCCTCTGGGCCTTGTCCCTTTCCCAGGCCAGGAGCTCACCTGATCTGTTTGTCTTCAACCCTTTAGCTCTCACCTTGCAGCGGGGAAGGGCCCAGACCATCAGTTGCCAGGAAACAGGATGTTGGCCATTCTCTGTGTCCAGACCCGTGCACACACCTGCCCTCTAGGGTTCTGCAACGATCATACACCCTTATGCCACCACCTAGATACTTAAGAACTCCATAGGGGAAACTGAGGCACCCCCACAATATTCAGAGGAAACATTAAGAACAGTCACACTGACTTAGAACAACGCTTCCTCAGCTCTCGTCCCCTTATGCCCCTACTCTACTTATGCTACACTGATGACATCTTCATCATCTGGACCCATGGAAAAGAAGCCCTTGAGGAATTCCACCACGATTTCAACAATTTCCATCCCACCATCAACCTCAGCCTGGACGAGCCCACACAAGAGATCCACTTCCTGGACACTACAGTGCAAATAAGCGATGGTCACATAAACACCACCCTATACTGGAAACCTACTGACCGCTGTTCCTACCTACATGCCTCCAGCTTTCATCCAGACCACACCACACGATCCATTGCCTACAGCCAAGCTCTACCATACAACCGCATTTGCTCCAACCCATCAGACAGAGACAAACACCTACAAGATCTCTATCAAGCGTTCTTACAACTACAATACCCACCTGCCGAAGTGAAGAAACAGATGGACAGAGCCAGAAGAGTTCCCAGAAGTTACCTACTACAGGACAGGCCCAACAAAGAAAATAACAGAACGCCACTAGCTGTCACCTTCAGCCCCCAACTAAAACCTCTCCAGCGCATCATCAAGGAGCTACAACCTATCCTGAAGGACAACCCATCACTCTCACAAATCTTGGGAGACAGACCAGTCTTTGCCTACAGACAGCCCCCCAACCTGAAGCAAATACTCACCAGCAACCACACAACAAAAACACTAACCCAGGAACCTATCCTTGCAGCAAAGCTCGTTGCCAGCTGTGTCCACATATCTATTCATGGGACACCATCATAGGGCCTAATCGTATCAGCCACACTATCAGAGGCTCGTTCACCTGTGCATCTACCAATGTGATATGTGCCAGCAATGCCCCTCTGGCATG